TTTTTAAAATTTTTGATCTTTGTGCTCGACTTATTTGCTATAGGAGTGTCTACGTGTGACCTTGTGTATAGGTTGCTTGATTGTTCCTCCTAGACTTCAGGCTTCACATTGTTCTCTGATGTTGTTTTGCTTCTGTATCGATAAACACTCAGTCTAAGTGTGATTGCTTGTTAATAGTGTGGTGTTTTGTATGTTTCAGAAAGTTCATCTCAACCACCCAACATTTTCTGAAAATGTTGTTTTGATTTGTAATGCAGCCAAACAATGGAAGAGGATGGTCACAAAAGCCACTTTTGTAGGTCCAACTTTTACTAGAAAACCTCCAAAGTATGAGCGTTTCATACGACCCTCAGGCATGCGTTTCACTAAAGCTCATGTGACGCACCCTGAACTCAAGTGTACTTTCAATCTTGAAATCATTGGTGTGAAGAAAAACCCAAATGGTGCAATGTATACATCTCTTGGCGTCATAACCAAAGGAACCATCATTGAGGTATAATCTTTACCAGACGCAAACTAACTTTTATCATATACCCACTATTAAATTGATTATGCTTCAGTTATTGACCCCCGCCCTGATTTCAGGTGAACGTCAGTGAGCTTGGTCTTGTAACTCCTGCTGGAAAAGTTGTCTGGGGTAAGATTGTTTTTTGTTCTTTTTCCTTGTTATTTTAAGGAGGTGCAAAATGGATGGATTTCCCATCCCATGCTTGAGCTATTTAATAAGATCCTTCCATTGAATAAATTTGGGAAAACTGTCAAATAAGCCCCCGTAGTATACCAAAAAAGTTAATTAAGCCCTCGAACTAAGAAAACACTCAATTAAGTCTACGAACTGTAGAAAAACAGTCAAATAAGTCATTTAACCTGTAAAAAACGGTTAGCCGGTTGATATGCGTACGTCGCCGGCCATGAATCCATTTCACTGTTTTTCTTTTTCGTTCATTTTTTTCTTTTCTTTTCTGCTACTTCTTTGTCTCTTCCATCATCCTCATCTCACCTTCTTCCCCTTCTTTTTTCTTTCCCCAACCTGCTGCACCTTCTCTTTTCCTCGTGAGATTCTCTCCTCCCCCGTTCAACCCTTCTCTCCTCCATTTTTGTTTTTCTCTCTTCTTCCACACATGGTTCCATGATTTTATTTCTTAGTCTATGTATGACCTAGATTAGTCTACGGATCACCGTAGACTCGTGAGAAGAATCTCATAGAAAAGTGATTTCAGCCTTCCAGCTCCAGCTCATCTCTCATATACTCCAAACACTGTAGATCACGTTGCCGCACGCATTTGGGAACTCCATTAACGCCCTCCAGCCCGGCTCTGGCTGCACTCCAGCTTCTCCCTTTTCAGTCGAGCAGAGTATGACGGGGTTGACTTCAATCCTCAAGCCCAGCTCACTGGAGGAGACGTAGATGATATGGGTGATCTCCTCACCGGACGGATCCAATCCTCGATGCAGGAGTGTAAAAGACCAAGAAAAAAGAGAGGTTATTTCGACGACCGAAGAAGAAGAGAGCTGGTGGCCAAAGGCCACTTGATTGATTGAAGACTCAAATTCTATCACTGAAGATCCATTTTTGAGCTTGTTGAAGAAGATATGTCTGGAGAGGGGAAGGGAAGAATCCGATGAAGAAAGGAGGTGTGTAGCAGCTTATGGCAGAATATAAGGAAGAGGAGTAGGTGATTTGGGGCTGGTGGAAGAAAGAAAGAATAAATGAATAGAGAAGAAAAAATAAAAGCAAAAATGTGAAATACCGGCCACATAGGTGGAGTAACCGGCTGATCGGTTCTGTATAGGTTAAATGACTTAATTGATTATTTTTCTAAAGTTTGTGGGCTTAATTGAACGTTTTTTAGTTTGAGGACGCAATTGACTTTTTTGATATCTAATCTGCCGACCTCAAACTCTTATGGATTAAGGCTTGGATGTTGTTGTTGTTGCGGATATCCAACCTGTAATTTTTTTTATTACTCTTCATGTGAATAATTCATGTGAATATGTGGATTGGTTGTAACTTCTCACCATCCATGCACAAATGGATGGATTTCGTCCAATTCATCATTACTAACTTATTATCAATGGAATGAATTTACCTTTGTAAAGACAGTAGGGAAATGAATTCTTTACCACTCCTAATAATTATGCATGTTTTTCATACTTTGTCCTTCATACAAGTTTCATTTGCAAACATGGGGTTATGCAGGGAAGTATGCTCAAGTGACGAATAATCCTGAAAATGATGGCTGCATCAATGCGGTTCTCCTTGTGTAGATGGACAGTATTGTATTGGGATGTTCAATTCTCGGTGCCGAAATCCCGGCCTTCATATTTGCATTAATAGTTTGCTGTCTTGAATTGGTTTTACATTTTTGAGCATTGTGATTTGTGAGACCTGACTTTTATGTACACTTGTGAACTGTTTACAATAGCATGAAGTAGCCACTGATTTGAAGCGTTTTTTCATACAAGATTTTTACATGTAAACAGTAATTTTATCCCATCAGCCATTAGTAGTAAATGAAAACAAAAGAGGTTCATGCAAAATAGGTTCATGGTTTTGAATTAATTTGTTTGATATTTTCCGCCATGTGACTCGTGTAGTCGTGTCATTGACAAAATAGGAAATTATAATTCAAAAGGAAAAAACCTTTAAATTCTTTAAATGGCTTTGTAGTTCTCTTGTTTGTTGAACTTATTTGTGTCCCGCTGCCAAATCCCAATAATACTCCTAGCTCAAGATAATAAAGTAGAAACTCAGAAAGTTTCTCACTTTCTCCTAAGGTATCTAATTCATTTCGAATCCTTGAATATTCTCTGCAGTTCACAGCAATAATATTAAAATTTTGAAAACGTGAAATTTCTTGTCATTAAAAGATCCAAGTTAAATAGATTAATATGGATTACGGAGTGTATGTTCACACGCTACTGAGACAATATGTTTAATACTCAATACACATTCATTAATGAGATAAAAAGAGATCAATTGAAATTTTTTCACAGATTTATTCCACACTTGAACACGCTTGAAGTGTTATTAAGCATACCAATGAATCAATGATCATGTTACAGATAAAAAACATTACAATTTCTATATGTAAAAAACTGATTAAGCATTAAAAAATTAATCACAATGCCGGAAGTACGTCCGTCAATGATCCTGTCAACAATTTCAACAACATGCCTACATGCATTACAATAGTTGACATGTCAACAAGCATATAAGAAATGTAATTATTTGCTTATAAATTACCTAAGAAAATATTATCTTAGGTAATTGAATAAGATGAACAACACTTTAGTTTCTAGTTTTTCTTTCAGATGAAGGCAAAAAGGTATTGCATGTGATGTCTTTCCTCCATCCCAAATTAACGTTGACACTTTATTTGAACTAATAGTTTAATAATAATATAGTTTATAGATATTATACGATAGTAATATATTTGATTTAACTTTGATTCTTAACAAAATAGAACTAGAAATCCGAATTGTAATACGTCATTACTGCAAAACCAGACTGCATTTTATTTCAATTTGATTTGGTACATATTTTTTTGAATGGATTTGTGCACACCCCTATATCAATAACCATAAATAAGAAATAATGGTAATGATAGAGTATATAGACTCGAACCCCAGTCTCAACCTATTGGGTTTGGACAGCGATCCGCACACGCTTAACGGACATCATTTGTATTATTGTACATTTTAGTATACATTGTATCCACTATATTAGCCTTTATATAGTTGGGGCTATCGAGTCCATATTAGTGGCTCAACCCGCTCTCTCTATATACTCCCCTAGGGAGACTTGTAACCCTAATTACTAACTCATATTCATTCACAATGCACCATTCATCTTCTTCTCCATTTTTACGGAGTATATAGTTTGGATATCCCTATTATCAATCAGGTAATTTTTTGCAAAAGTTTTGTATGTTTTCTATGTTGTAAGTGCTATGATAAATACTTTCATTTTAAGTCCTAAGAGTACGGTAATTATTGTTGTACACAAATTGTGCATTGCATGTGTACTCATGTATTTTTGCAGGCAATTTGAGAGTTTATATACAATTTGTGTACTTATTTTGTGTACAAATGTAATTTTCCCAAAAGTTACGATTCAATTTGAATTGAAGCTTAATTTATGATAATAACAATGAAGGTGATCAACCAACCAATAAAGTATTGAGGGGGGTGTTTGGATATACTTCTTCAAATTGCTTCGGCTCCTTAAAGGAAAAGAAACAAATATTTGAGTGTTTGGGTGAAAGTGTAGAAGCACTTCTAGGCGCTCCAAATTACTCCTAGAAGTAGTTTTTGAGAAGTTGGGGGAAATCGAGTTCTGAAAAAACCTATTCTGAATCTACTGCTTTGAATAAATTCCAAACACTCCTAAGTGCTATTTACAAAGAAGTGCTCAACTATTTTTTTCTCACTATTTATGTAGTCACACAAGTTCTATGAATCTCAATTTTTAACACCACTTTTTTTACATCATTAACGCAGCCTAATATAGATAACAACATCCCGTGTAACATAACCCATGTGCGAGAATTCTCACAAGTGAAGCCACTCGAGAGTAGGGATGGACCCGGGCCGGGCTTTTGTTTGGGAAGTAGGGAACCGGAACCGGCCCGGGTAGCCGGCGGTTCCGGGCCGGGCCGGTTTCCGGTTCAAGTTATTTTTTTTTAATTTTCTTATGTCTTTCTAAATTACCCCCGACCCCCCTTAACCCCCCGACCCCCCAAACCCCCCCAAAACACCCAGCCCTACCCGGTAGAAACAAAAAAAATTGAAAAAAAAAAATTGGCCCGAACCGGCCGGGCCGGTTCACCATTTTCAAGGCCCGAGCCCGCACCGGGAACTGACCGGTTCTGGTTGGCCCGAACCGGATCCAAGACCGGGTCCCGGGCCGGGCCCAAACAGTTCCGGGCCGGGCCGCCCGACCCGAGTCCGCCCCTACTCTAGAGGAGCTACCATTATAGAGAAAACTTCTAATACCCATTTCAGAAATTGAAAGAGAACTTGTAATACCCAATTCATATAATTCCAAAACTGGTACCATTCTCATTTGTGAACATGAAGAAGAGTACAGCATGATGACTGTGACTCATCAACATAGTGAAGTACTATGTGAGAATCCGAGGGCCGTTCACCTGATGACCATTCTAAGTAAGCTTAAAATGGTGAAGAACTCGTGGAGATGAAAATTATCAACATGATGACTATGACTCATCATGTCATTGATATCATAAGTTTTTTTTTTTTTTTGAAAATATGGATACCATAATGTTGAACATCTTTTGTTTTGAGCCATTACTCAATTTCTTACCTTATCAAATGAGTACATTATATCAAGGCCATTATTAATCTTTTCCATTTAGTTACTCCATATTTTATGACCAGTTCCTTGATACAAAGATCAGAAACAATGTATTTACTGTTTGGAATATACTCCATATATTATACGAGTTCCTGTTTCTGCTTTTGAACAAATATTATATGTCACAATTGTATTTCATTCCTTTGTCTCCAAGAAAGGTTCCTGGAACAATAAAATAATTACTGGTACAGAAGTTCTTCCAGAGACATGGGAGGGACAACTTTGTAACTAATAATGTTCATAGTTCATGCATCAGCTTCTTGCGTGGATGTAAGACTTCATAGTTGCTATGATGACATGCCCTTTGCTTCTTTATACAGTTGATCAATGCAATCCTGCAAATTTTGATAGGACTGCGTTAAGTTGGCAAAGGAAGAAGCTAACTAGCTAACTGAACATGATTGTGAGTTAAAATTTAGTGGCTAAATGTATTGGGAAACAGTTAATTAGTTAGAATTGGGTAAATTGCGGGGATGGACCCTCGGGAAATTGTAATTGTCATGTCACCCCACATCCGACTAATATGAAATAAGTGAAAATATAGGGTCTTGGCTTCTTGGGTTACTATTACAGTGTTACTGCTCCTATCAAATTTTGATTTCTAGTGGTACTTGAACAATCACAAAGAAACAAAGCCAAGTAAAAGTAAAATATCAAGTTGTTCTATTGATATCGAGTTGATCTTTTTGGTCAAATTGCAAGTCAATATAGTAAAAGAAATACAGATCAGGATTCAAATGGAAAAAATGAATAAGAAATGGAGGTTTCATGTAATACTACAACAATAGAACTTATGGACAAAATATGATAATATGGCAAGTTTGGCAACTACAATCACTGTGAAAATACTAACATGGCAATAGCTATTTAAATTACACTAATGTGATAACAAATATCACTGCAAAAGTACAACTATGATCACTTCATAGTAGAGGTCGATTTTTTTCCATTATTTTTATTTGGTCATATATTTGTCATTATTTCAAAAGAAAATATATAATTTTACCTTGTAATAGTTAAGTAGTTGTGGTCTTTTCAGCTTGAAGGTGGGAGTAACAAGATCCCTCTCAATGTCAAAAGGAACTGGCTCAAGGTGAACGGCCCTTAACATTTCAAAGCCGCGTAGCTGACAAGTTTTGCATGAAGATTGCAATTAGGCATAGAGAGTAAAGTATATATGGACTATAGAATCAAGAAAACGGAATAGAGTTTCATTTACTTTGTGTTGCTTAGCAGTACTGTTTAACTCATCCAAAACATACTTTTTCGCCCTCGGATTCTTACATAGTTCTACAAAGCCTCCAGTTTCCTTATTAATTTGAGCCCAATCTTCAAGTGCCTTTCTCTCTGGAATTGCCACGGCCACCAAGAAAGATTCAAAACTGTTCCCATAAACCCAAATCTGTTCAAAATCACAGAAACTCGTAATATGTAAGAAATAAGATTTTCCATACAATTTGCAGTTTTTTCTCATGTTATGGGAAAAAGAAAGAGTTTAACTTACTGCTGCCACAAGAGGGCATCTAGAGTAAGTGCTTTCCAGGCTTTCTACAGCAACATATTCTCCTTGAGACAACTTAAATATATTCTTTTTCCTATCAATGATTTTCATTGCTCCATTAGGCTGCCATTCCCCAATATCACCTGCAAAACTTCACTTTCAGATATCTACACATTAATGCTCCATTTTTGGAAAACAGAGCATTAAAACTATATGAAAAGAGGTTAGGGTTAGTCTAGAGAGGTTGCGTTAGGACTTAGGAACGGTGAAAATATGAAAAGAAATGTTTGGGAAAATAACAGTGAAGGTGAGATTGAAATCATAAATTACTACACTGGCGTTTAGAACATGAATACATTTTTTTATTCAAATATTTAGGGTTTAAATAAACATACTCTGCCTAAAAAATACGAGTACAAAATTCTATGTTATAGAAAATACTTTATATTAATTAGTTATTAGTGCATGTATTTTTTGGGTACAAATAAAGGGGGTTTTCGTATAGTATTACTAAAATCAAATTCTTAGAAAAAATTATGCCTCATGGTCAGGTCAATACATTCATTTGTAAAATATCATCATGCTCACTGACTTAACCGCAACGTAAAATTGAATGATCACCACAATTACTACTGAACTACAACAATGGTCAGTGTGAATTAAAAGTCACAATGTTTTCCATTCTTTTTATTTTAATCATATATATTTGTTCAGTATTCCACAAAAATTATGTTATAAATTACTTGTAGATAACTTATTTAATTTCAAATACATATCTATATAATTGAACACTCCACTTTGTAGCTTATGGAGATTGAGTTTCAACTTTTGAAAGGTCACGTTTGGAGCTTTCAAAAGCAGCTCTAAACAGAGTGCATCCAAATGAACCAAAAATGGTTGTATTTACCAGTATGAAACCATCCATCCACAAGAACATCCTTGGTGAGATCTTCCCTCTTATAATATCCTGAAAACAATGTCTTTCCACGCAAACAAATCTCTCCACGTGGAGTGCTAGCTAGTGCATCATATCCCATCTCAGGCACTGACTCAAGCCTTGCCTCAATTGTAGTCATTGGGACACCAACTGTCCCTGTCATTGGGAACACATTGGCTATGGATGTCAAACATCCTCCACAACTCTCTGTAAGGCCTGGGAGAAAGAAAAAGGCCATACACAAATTTAGTGTGGAATAGAATCAATTCAGCATTAAAGAAAAATATCCGAGTGATTAAGAAATATGCTTGGCGATTTTACCAATAAACTTGGGTTTTGGAGTTTTCCTTGCTTGTTTTTACTTGTTTGGTTTATCAGCAACAATATTTACCTCACACTCACTCATTTGGATATAAACTGAATGTCTTAACCCGCTAATAATAGGAAAAAGAAATGCAAATTTATATACTTTTGGGACATTTGGCTTAAGTGCTTGAAATAAAAGTATTTGACACTTTTACCATCATATTTTGAATATTATTTCCTTTACATAAAAAAGAGTGTTATTCTAAAAACTTCTTTTCGTTCTAAAAGAGATTCCTGTTTTATCAAACAAAACTAATTTTCTATTTAATTTTCCAAAAAGGTTATAAAGTTAAAAATGATAAATTTAACTAAGCTGACAAATACGGAGGAGTAACTTTTAGAAATATGAGTAGGACTTCATTACTTTTATTAGTTGTAAACTTGTAACAAGAGACGAGGGCAGCACTTAAATTAAATCTTTTTAAAAAATTATACAATTCAACCAATTCAGTAATTCCAGCCACTGTCTCAGCAATTCAGATCTTTTATCCAAATTTACCCCACCAAAACACTTTATGTTTCGCTAAAGAAAATCTGATTCTTGTATTGCTCTTCATGACAGGAAACAAAAGCAACTAATTTAGATATCTTCAATGGAATAATATACTGAGTATAATTATATCAGAAAACAAAGAAGGAATGAAGTATACCATATCCTTGTGATAAGACACAACAACATGTCACCCTCAAAAACTCCTCTACATGTTTGGGCAACGGAGCAGCTCCAGAGAGCATAAGCCTTACCCGCCCACCAAATGCCTGTTTAATCTGTGAAAGGAAAAGAAACTATGTCTAGGGGACCTCTGATTTATAGAGTGAATAAAGATAGAAGCGTGAGAACACTGACCTTGTCAAACACTAGCTTGTCAAATAAAGGAGCTGCTTCTTCTTGTCTAAGTCCTTTTTCCAGATTCTTCAACTTGCTGTCAAAACTTTCTGTGTTACTGCCTTTCTTTTACTCTATAGCAGTAAGTAAAACAAAGGGAGGGTCAAATGGCAAGACATACTAGTTATAGGCATACTGAAAGAGTAGGTTCTTCAATGTGCCACCAGTCAATATTTTATCCATTGTGGCTTCACAAGGAAAACAAAACAGTGAGAGTGAATTCTAGAAATTATATTTAAAGTACCAAAACTAATGATACTATATGGTTATGTTTGGGTCTAGGAAAAAGCTAGTGAAAATAAACAAAAGGCCGAGGAGGAGGATTATCTTAACCTCGCAGGTTTGATTTTATCTAAAAAAAATGCAAAGTAAAATGAATATTATTAAGTTTTCTAACTTTGTTGCGTGTATTTAGCTTTCTTAGTATTTATATAATAAAGATAAATTAAAACAAATGAATTTGAACGAATAACAAACATAAATTTTGAGATTGAACCAATGATTTATGTTCCTTAATAGTTGTTGTCTTTCTAAATTTCTTTGGTAACTTCCTGTCTATTCCTTTCACTATTTATTTTGAACTTCCTACGAACCATGAAGTATTCTTGATTGATGCATAGTAAAAGGTAAATAGATCATATGCATGCAATGTTTCTTTACTTACCTGTGTATATGCGGTCATAAACTCGCGGAACCCCACAAAATATAGTTGGCTTTAATACAATAAGATCCTCAATTAAGTATCTTATATCCTGCAAGTCAGAAGCATAATTGCTTTCAAGTTTAGAACAACATTAGGGTATGTTTGGATCACATAAAAATTTAGGGCCAATAAAAAATTCAATAAAAGATTTACCATGAAAAATGCAAAGGAAAACGTTATGAAGTATATGATTACCAATTTATAAAACATACATACATCTAGATTTATTTGTATTAAAGAAATCTAAATAAATAAATCAATAAATAAAATGAGCTCGAGCAAGCCTTTAAAACACATATATTAAGTCCAAGCCTGTATTTTATTCTCCCCGAATTTTTGATCCCTCGTGATTTTCCTCTCTACTTTTATTTCCCTAATATTTTACATGATACAAATGGACCCTTGGTGTTGAAGTTACTATACATTCATAAGATGGTGATAACATAATAAAAGAACAGTGAATCTTACGCCTTGCCAGAATCCAATTGAAGCACCACTAAGAATGCAAAATGTCTCGATTATCTGATCAAATATATGAGCCAATGGAAGGAACGAAAAGTATACATCATCCGGCGAACCCTGAAGCAAAGAAAACCATTTATCTGAAATACCACACGGGGTTTAAGGCTCAAAGTGAATCTTATGTTCGGAAATGAAAAGTTAAATCTTTACCGCTTTGTCTGTTAACAAAAGCAGTTGATTTACAGATAAGACTTCGGCCATCACCGCCTCGTTACTTAGAATGACACCTTTTGGTTCTCCTGTTGTTCCACTGGTATACATTATTGTGCAGACATCACTCTTACTTTTTGGTGGAAGTTCATCATCCAAACTTCCCTGGTATGATCATTAAGGCTATGTTTGTTACTCTAAAAATGCAGATGAACGGAAAAAGATACTAAGGAAATTTTTGCATATACTAGTTTATTTTTTATAAGATTGGAATATATACATAAAGAGGCATCAAAGGATATCTAAATTGATATATGGAGTTTGAAGTGATTTTTTTATTTTCTAGTAAATTTTATCCCCTTCTGAATTCCCTATCTATTTTCCTCCATATTCTCCTTCATGACATTTCCCAAAGTTCCTACGGACCTAAATAGCAGAATCATAATGATAGCTGATGAGTTTTAAAAAAGAACAATATATTACGGAGTACTTTGATTTACCATTTGACTGAACTCTTCCCATGAATAGCATGCTACACCATGCTGTTCAGCTTCCTTTTTCTTCTCACTGGAAATATATCCAAAGCTGACGATAGCTTAACATAAGAAACAATATGAATCTGTCAATCCAAAATTCTCTTCCAAAATATAGTATTAGAAATGGCAATGATTAACCTACTTTTCAGATGTGCACATCTTGGTAAGCAGGTTAGTATCTGGAAGAAAGAGTCACATATGGAAAAAAACAATTTAATACACGTATCATAGAAAGGCAACAACAGAAATTTGTTATGCTGGATTTATAAAACAACAGGATGAAGCACATCAAGTGTGATATAAATCAACTTGGCTATGCCTTAATTGAAATCCTCTCCTGTTTATCATTTATACACAAGTATAATAAGAACATACAGCTGGCATCTTGCTCTCTTGGATGAAAGCTATTGCCAATTCGGCATGGTTTATGATGAACTCCACTGCATTCGCACCTACAACTCAAACATAAACAAGAAAGAAACTTTAGCCGTTTTAACCTTTTAATCTTACTTTAAATGGTTATTATGAAAATGACATCCTGTGAACTATATCCTTATGGATAAGTAGAACATACCAAGAGTATCATATAATGGTACATAAGAAATGGCTTGGCTGTTGCAAGCCTGTGGAAGAATGAAACAACATGAAGAATGTCAAAAGAATGTTAATCCCAACATCAACAAGGGCCTCTTAGGAATTAGGATGTATTATTCATTTTTAGAAGCATTGTATTTATCAAGGTATTGACTAAGTTTTCCGAAACCTTCCATCCACACAAGACCTAAGGGTTGTTTCAAACTGAGAGGAAATTACAGGTGAAATTTGGAAGGAAAGAAAATGTTGAGGATAATAAAATATACGTAGTATATCTGTTAAAACTCATTAAGTTAATGTTTATTTTTTATTTTTTAAAGGTAATGTTTATTATTTATTTTCAAATTCGTTATTTATTTATATATTACGTTTATATAAACAGGAGAAAAGTCTAAAGATGTGTATAAAAAATTGAAGCATTTATTGCATATTCTGAGATAGATCCTAACATAAGAAAATAACTTTCTTTATCATTTTCTTTCCTTTCTCTGGCATTTCCCAGGATCCAAACATAGGTTACATAGCCTACTGGAAGGTAGTGTCTTTCCATAGATGCATGAGAAGCATTTGTCTGGCTAATGGAAATAAGGTTTGTTATAAATAAAATAAAAAATTAATGTGTATAACATACCTCCATTGCCATTATCCATTCTGGAGAGTTAGAGCCATATATGCCACACTTATTGCCCTAAATAAATAGAAATCAAGCAAATCATTTGCAAAATTGCTTATTGATTACATACAAGTAGCTAGATTTTTTCTAGCAGAGAGCTGCCTTACAGGATTCACACCACATTTCCGAATAGCAGATCCAACTCTTTTGGCTGTATTGTAGGATTCTTCATATGTCATCCATACATAGGAACCTGCCTGTAATTAAAGATTTTTTTTTTTTGGATACTGGGTTTGAAAGACAAACTGTATATGAAGAACACATACCTTCTTGTCAACAATCTCACGCCGACCAAGCATGTTGTTTTTTGGATTTTTCTTGACAGAATCACTGCAAGAACAAGATGAATACAAGAATTAAGTAAGAACACAATGACTCTAAGTCTATAACCCAATGCCACTACTCATTCTTAATACAGAAAAACTAGAAACACATTTCAGTTTACAACTACAATCCCAGTTGAAGAAATGTAAAATGCATTCACTTTAACCATCTATACCTTTCAGCAAAGTTTGAAACATTCCTCTAAATGGGGGGTCTCATAGCTCTAAACCAGCAATTTACAGAGTATACATTCACTCAAATGAAATGAATGCCAAAATCAGTATATTGGAAATTCCTTGAGATTTACCTGAAGAAGTCCCAAGGAGACTCCAGTCTAGCAGGAAAGTCCATGAGAGCATCTTTAGCATAAATGCATCTATACACAGGTCCTGCAGACGGCTTTCCATCACCAGAAGGTCTGCCATCTTCAACTTTCACCACATAATCTGTCATTTTAGCCTCAAAATCAGAGAACAAGAAACTGGGTACTGCCAAGAATCAAAGAAAAAGGACGGACACAGCAAAAAATTGGTTTTTTATGGCTTTGAATGCTCACAGGAAAAGAGGGTAGGATTAGTTGAGAAGATATAGCTGCAATAAATTCCAGGATGATTATTTAGTTGAAGACATCTCATCAAACCTTCGCTGGCGGCCTTAATTGACTTTCAGTAACTGCTGGTCGTCTTGCACATGAAATACTATCATTTAAAATGGGTAGTTGAAACTTTGATTGGATTATGCTCACACAGCCCTGATTTCACGTACTCGGGCAATCAAGAACTCTGTCCCATCTCCATTTATATATTGTATAAAACAAAGATTTCTAAAATTATTGTCTTCTCTATTTAAGAATGCACAGAATTGTTAGAGCCTTGGAGGATTTTGTTGGATACGTTTTTCCCAATCTTCAACGATCTACCGACTACATCTGCCACAAGTAATGTTTTTTTGAAACCCCGCAAAATTCTGTTATTACGGAATACTCCGTAGTACTCATTGACAATGACTACATCCTTTGTGGTGTACTTCCATTTGGCAAATGGAAAATACGGAGTATTTCCTCAAAGGCTCAAACTGGTATTAGAATGTAAAATTTCCGTTCGTCACAAAGCTCAACGAGTATGTAAAGGGATAAGTTTTGAGTTAAATGCATAAAGTCCAAAGTACCGGGATAAGAGCACGGTAGATGACTAGATGGTATCATCCTAACATTAACTGTCAGGTTGATGTTAGGGAGCACCGTAGAAGTGTACCAAATAAAAACCGAACTCAATTTGGAGCCCGTTTGGAAACTCTGTTTTCGGCTTATCAGGCTTATCAGCCAGCTTTTTCACCAAACACGTAACTTTTACTTTCGCGCGCTGAATTGTGTAATAAGCCGAAAAAGTAAGGTTGGAGTTACTTTTCTGGCTGTATTGGCTGAAGTTACTGTAGAGGACCATTTTAGCTATTTTTACATATAATTTTTTCTTTAATTTATTAATAAAATATATTTTTAAAATATTTTTTTCTTAAATCAGCAGAATCAGCCAAAACAGCCACTCCAGCCAGAATATCATAAATTTCAGCAGAATCAGCCAAAACAGCCGATTTTGGTGCTACCAAACGGGCTCTTGGTTCAGTTTTGATTCCATTTGGAAAAGGATAGGTTTGATTTGGTTTGTAGTTCATTATACTAGAGCTGGGCGAATCGGTTTATGGTTCGGTTTCAAGTTGTTCGATTTGGCGAAAAGTATATGCTCTTATCAACACTATTTTCAGCAAAGTTTATTGGCACAATTTACAGCAAAGTAGAAGTGGGGCGATAGATACACTTTAAAATAAATACGCAGTATCTTAGATACTGCGTATTTATTCTAGATAGTGATAAATTATATCAACCACATAATAATATCCTTAAATAGAGAATGATGATAATTTTGAAATAAATGAAAAATGAAAGGATATATGAAGATAAAAAGAGCGAAAAGGATATTTCTTTTTACAATGGAAGGGGAAAATGAGGGCATCTCCATATATTCTGCTACCTTTGTCTTACAAACGTTAAGACATGAGAATGCGACACGATTATTAAGAAAAATGAGTTTATGTAGTTGATATCAATTCTTCACTCGTTCCGAATTGTAACACACTTTACAGATTACGATGTTTGACCGACGATAAAGCAAATTGATCCATGTCAACACTCAAATTAGTTTTAGAAAATAAAATTTACTTATTCAGAACTACATAAAAATCGCTACAAAACTTGCAAAAAATTCAAATTTCATAAAATTTTGATATACAAAGTAAGAGATTAAGAGTGATTTGTGTTGCCCAAATGAATAGAAAATATATCTTACAAAAGGGAATGAGGGAGTAATAAACTTAGAGTAAAGTAAAAATGATTTAGAACCTAACAAAATTTACAAAATTTGATATGAGACAATCTTAGTGAAGGATCAAAAAAGAAAAATAAGATAATCTTATTGGAAAAGGAGGGAGTAAGAAATGTGGTGCATTACATGAGAGCTCCAGTTCTCGAATCTCACTGTCACACACCTTTATTGAAAAAATGTTCCATTCATTCGAACTCTTGAAACAAGTCATAAAATATTGGATCTTATTTTGATTCAGGATCCGTACGCCCCGGACGTATTTTGAAGCAACTGGGTCCGGTTTTAATTTTAAATAGTAATGAGAATAAGTTAATTCGTTATGTTCAAGAAAAGTGCAATAAATAAGATTGGCACACTAAAATGTTACTAAAAGGTAGACCACACATGATGTTTTACTCCCTATGTTTTAAGTAAATAACAAGTAGATAAACATGTGCGTGCATATACATTAAAGGTTGGTTTGCAACCGCTTTTAAAAAAGCACTTCTCAGCTTTTGGCTTTAAAAAAGCACTTATTTTCCCAAACACTACAACTTTTATTTTTCTCGGCTTCCGCGTCAAAAGTGCTTTTACTTTTTCTATGACACAAAAAGCACTTATTTTACCAAACACTACCCACTTTTACTTTTTAAAATCACTTTTTTCTCAAACAGTATCAACTTTTAAATAATCACTTCTCTCCATTTCATTAAAAAAAGCACTTTTTTAAAAGCAGAAGCTGTTGCAAACAGACCCTAAGCCAATAAACCAATCTATATATAGTCTAATCTATAAGACCTTTTAAAAAGCCTTTGTCATATATAATTAGGTATGGTACCTATTAAAGTTCGTATTCCCTAAACTGTGTCTAAAAGTTTGATTCACTTTTAACCTGAACTCAAAATGGGAAAACAAACTAAAAGCAATTCAAATTTGCTAGTTGTACACATTCTAATACCCACTATATACACACTATATATACCTAAAAAAAAATTACCCATCTCCTTAGCTGAAAAATTACCCCCACCCGGCCCCTCCCTCCCTTTGCTCTCCTCGACTCATCCTCACTCCCCTCCCCTTCATCTCTTTCTTTCTTCCTCTCATCTACGCTATTTTCTCTGGATCCGGTTTCTCTGCCTGGATTTGGCCGCCAGGTAGGGTGCCTGGCTAATTATGACCTTCCGATACAATATTTAACGATCTCAATGTGCTGCTCCTCTCTTCTTTGCCGTCCGATTTAAGCCAAGGACCCTGTCGTGCGACAGAGGATCCTAATCCATTTAGCTTCTTCTTTTTTCTCCTTTCTATTTTTTGGCCACATAAATAAAAGCTTATGCTCCTGTTTTTCCTTCGAGCAAATTTACTACCTTGCCATCTTCCTTAGATTTGCTTCTTGATGCGCTTTGTTTAGACTGAATTCGAAGGATAATCAGAGATAGATAATTCTGCATTTGGAAAGAATGGGAGCTCGGGTTTAAATTTGGCTCAGGTTTCAATCCCAGATTTCAAACTCAGGGTAATTTTCTACTCCATTTTTATCTTCATATAGGGTTAGATTTTTTTTGTTCTTTCCAAAATTAGTAGGGAGTAATTATACATGTTATCAGGTTGAATTCTTGACTATTTTGTTTCTTTGATATAGGTTTATGATGTAAACCATTAAAATTTAAGTCCTATTGTATTTCAATTATATGTCCATTACATGTTTGTTGAAATGTTTGAATGATTTTTTTTCATATCTTAGAAGTTTTTTGTATGCGCTTTTAAGTTTAATGAGGATTTGATTTTTTATTTTTACAGTTTAAAGCGTGTTATATGTTTATTTTTGACTGTTTTATTTGTAAGTATCAATTGGATATCAAACATTAATTAGTCTTTAATCTTGTTGTTCATGCTAAATTTATGTATACAATATGAATGGGGCCATAATAATGGCAAAAAAAACTTTAAAAGTGTAAAATGCTAAAATTGAGGTATGTTTAAAGCTCGACAGGCAGTTTTTAATAGTTTGTTTAGTCAGCCTTTCTTTATGTTAAGTTTTTTAAGCTAGTTTATATAAATTAGTTTGCTGCTCTATTCTCGATTTATAGAGCACTATATTTACATTGTTGTCTTTGGATAAGAAGATAGTTCTTTGTGGTACAGATGATACAATCTTTTTGTGATAAGAAGCATTTTCTTTGGGATGTGGGTGTCTGGGTGATACATTTTCTAGTATTACTCATGCAAGTGAAGTATTTGTAAAATCATTAATTCATTTAAATCTTGATTTTGAAAAATTGGTGATGAATCATCATGTTGAGTTTGTGGCAGAATTATAGTCCTTAATAATAGAGTAGCTCTAAACTTTTGTGGGTAAGGCTGAATTAGTTACTTGGTAACAAAAATTACTTGCTACCCAAGTGCTAATCAATAGAAACTTATACAATGATCTTTGTGTTGCACTCTACTCTACAACCTTTGTTTTAAGTCATTTATTCCATAAATTAAAATTTACTTTCATTAGTTATTATGTTTTTCTTTTGAATTTTTTTGGATTAGTGATTTTTATAGTCTTTCTTTCTGTTTTTAGTTGAAGTTAAATGGTCCACTTATATCTTATTTAATTATTTGAGATAAAAAGGGAGATTGTGGAAAGTAGAATCTTAGAAGTGTTGTTCATAAGCTTATTTTCTTTTTTTTATGTAAAATAATTATGTTGTTATTACTCAAATTTTTATTCATTGCCATCTTACTATTTGTTTAAATTTTCATTGATTCCTTGCAGTTTGGTCAGGAAAAGGCAACGATGGCCAAGTGACGACATGAAGAACATTATATTTGTTGTTGTCATTACTATGTCTATTACACAAGATAACCAATAGTTACATTGTAAAGTTACTTTGTAATAGGTTCAAAACACAAGATAACCAATATTTAAATCTTGTAATAGTCACTTTGTAAAGTAATGTTCTTTACTCAGTATGTTACCTTATTAATGAGTATGTATTTGGTAATTTTATTTGAAATGACGATAAGAAGATAATTGTCTATGACTCTGTGTGATGAAAGCGCTATCATTGTGCTCATTTATTTTATGTGTATAGAAAATAATCGTCCATGTGTTTGTTTATATTGCCCGTGTGTGGTTAAAACATTGTTTGTATGTTCATTTATTTTGCCGATGTGTAGAAATCATATTTTATTTGTGT